GATGGGCTTCTCAGAGGCCCTGGCCATTTTTTTTTAAAGGACTGAGCACCATTGCAGCGGTCCAGCGAGTGGTCAACGCCACTACAGATGTTTGCTTCCAGAAGTGCCATTTCAGCGCAACTTCCCTAAAATGTGCTCATCGTATAAACTGAGGGACACAGGCATGTGGCACAGCGACCTGCGAAGGGCCTTCCTTAAGGACGGAGGAGAGAGGGCAGGGGCGGGCCTTTCATGGAGCCGCCTTAAGTATCTGAGTTTTGTTGAGAATACTTCATTCTTATCATTCAAATGCAATGAAATTATATTAACTCTGTAACTTGAGTTGGGGATGATCCGTTGATGTAATGTTATTGTTATGCTTTAATTTAATATTGAACCTCTTTGATTTTGTCATATGAATGAGTCAATATCATTTTTCTGGTTCAACCCATTTTTATGAAACCCTGGCGCTCCTGTCGACCCTTTGCCTGTGGGCCCCAACACACAAAATCGTCCCGCCTTTGGCCACAGTGACGACCTGGGCTTAGCGCTCAGCAGGTGTCCAAAGGCAGCCGGGAGAGCCTTTTAAGATCAGCACCGGGGGTGACAGACTATTTGAACTGAAAGTGCTCTTAAGGCCGATCACATCCAAGTCTCCAGTTTGGTAGGCAAGAGGGCTAAGGCCCAGAGGGAGCAGCGCCTTGCCATGTCATTGCTGCTGTCACCATTGTCACCAGCATCACCTACCATTCATCTAACACTGACCAAGGGCATGTATCTGGGGCTACAAAGAAGACGAGGCCTTGCCCTCAGAGTTCACAATCTGAGAGGCGGAGGGTCTCGCAAGGCGTTAGTGGCCCAGCTGCAACTAGAGCTCAGGTCCCTCTCCAGGCTCCCAGACCAGTGCTGGTCCCATTCCAGTGTGGCCTCTTCTATCATCACGGGCACGTGGAGGTGGCGTCCTTTGTGATCCAGCAGTTTGCACTACAGATCCTCATAGACAACGCGATGACAGCAATGATGGCCTTGGTTCAGCGGTCAGCACAGGTGTTGGGGTGCAGGTTTGGCTGGGTACCAGACAAGATGAGAAGAACACCTAGGGAAGGGCCTCAGAGGCCTGGCTTGGATCGAGTGTCCACATTTGGGCCAATCATCTGTGGCCAGGGGCGGAGTCAGCAAGAGCACGGAAGCTCCTGTAGGAATGAAGCGGTCGGTTGTGGTCAGAGGGGCAGTTTTCAAAAAGAGGGTGCTTTGCCTCAAAGGGGTAGAAGGTCCAAGCAGGCAAAGCAATACGCGTCCTCTACAATTGAAGAAGCTCATTCAAAAGGCACCAGGATGTTTGAAGAGGAGAGGGGTTCTGCCCTGGTGGGGATCAGGGCCAGCACCCTAGACGTGGCGTTCAGGACAGGAAGCAAAGGGGGTAGCGTTTGCAAAGGCCGAGGAGCAAGGAAGTGAAAGGCCAAGCGGCGACGGTGACGGGGAGGCAGTCCAGTGGGGCACCAGCGAGGGAGCCGGGAGCAGGGAAGGAGGCCGCCAGGTCCGAAGAGGAAGCCCAGGGGAGTGGATGCCGGGGTGTGAGCTTTCATTTGCGGCCACTGGCGGCCCCATACAGTACAGGGTGCCCCGCGAAATCTGAGTTCCAGATAAACAGCAAATAATATTTGCATGAACAGACACTGAACATTTTTCACCGGGTATCTGAAATTCCAATTTAACTGGGCATTTTGCATTTTTCTTTGCCAAATCTAGCGATCCTACCTGGGGAGCCAGCGGAGGGCTTTCAGCCAAGGCAAGCGTGAAGCTGTTGATTCAGTCCAAACTCCAGCACCTCTGCTGTCTAGAATCTTGGGCAATGGAAACTTAGGCTCTCTGCAGTGAGTCAGGCCCTGCCAGCCACTGAGTTCCCTTGAGTTCTCCTGGAAAAGCTGGCTCTCCGCTGTGGAGCGGAGCCGCCCTCCCTCCATGTCTTTGCGCTCTCGGCTCTGGCACATCCATCCTTTGTCACCGTGGTGACTCAGTTGGAGCCATAGAACTCGATTAGCCAGGTTCCCCACTCCCTGGAGGATGACTCAGGAGTCAGGCTCCCCGGGCTTGCTGACGTCACCCACGCTCCGGTCCCTCAGTTTGTACCAGGGGTATAAACACAGGCAGAGATTAACCAGAAAGAGTCACACATTAGCAAACGTGTCGCCTGCCCTTCTGTTGCCCACCCTTCCTCCGTGGCTGGGAGGTCCCAGGGCTGGCCTCAGGGAGCCGCGTGGCCCTCCGTGGCGGTGGGGGTGGGGCGAGCGAGGGAGTTCCTGGACAGCTGTGAAGAAAAATCTCATCAGCCTTCGCAGCCAGGCCCCTGGGGGAACTGTTAGGAGCACACCCAGGAGCACACACTCTCTCAGCAATTTTCACCTACCAGGGTATGGAGGCAGCTGGGAAAACACACCCTCTTCAAAGGCCTCGGCTTCTGGCTCCTTCTTCTCGGCCCTTCACACATTCCCCATCCTAGAAAAAATTTCTAAAAGCAAACCAAGGAGGAGATGGAATTTGGGATCTCGCTCAAACAATCCTAGAAGGTGCCAGAAGCAGCCAGAGGCTTCTTCCTCCACATGGACCGCGGCCTCAGCTGACTCCTCCTTCAGAACTCCTGCTGCCGGTGTGGGCAGCGGCCGTGCGCTCAGGCCCTGCCTGCAGCCATGCCCCTCCCTGCGGGCCACAGCCACTGAAGGTTCCTGGGGACCCCCAAGCACCCTACTTGCAGGTCGCCCTGCTCTGTACTCCTTCTTTCAGCCTGGGGTCCACCACCTGTCCCTACTGACCTTCAGACCTCAGCTCACGCATCAGCTCCTCCAAAAGGTGGGCTTCCTGCCCCCTTGCCTCCCCCTGGAAGGCCGTCCCCCCTTGGTCGCTCTTAGCACACTGTACCCAACCCGTTTATGTCCCTCTGTCTGAACTGTCTGAACTTGGGGCTGCTCCAGGTCAGTGCGTGTGACCTTTATCTCTGCTCTCGCAGAGCCTCGTAGAACGCGAAGTAGAAAACAGGCACTCAGCACCAACTGAGTAATTCCAGAAGGGTATAAAGTAAAAGATAAACATGCTCCCTCTTTCTTCTCAGCCCCACTCCTCAGAGGCGCTTCCGGACAGGTTCGCACACGTGCGCACAGGGCCCCGGGACCCGCCGTCCCAGGCTCCGCCTCTGTTCTTTGTCAGAGCCCCGGGGGACACCGCCTCCGGTCAGGCTGCGCAGCCCACCTGACCCTCCTGTCGGATGCACAATATACCGTCGTACAGGTACAGAGGGTGTATCTGTACGATCCTGCGTTCTTCAATGGTGAAACTCTCTTTTCCTTGGCATTTAAAACAAAGTCCCCCTTCTTACAGGCAGCTTTCTGTTCCTGTGCAGTCAGAATTGGAGGATGCATCCCTAGAAATGAAACTGTTAGGACACAGAAAAGATATTGCGACTTTGTCAAATGCTCTCCAAAAAGATGGCAACAAATTAAATTCCTATGTGTTAAATTCCAGTGTGTGTGAGCATGTTTTTCTAGAAGCCTGGGGAGTCCCCTCGGGCGGCCCTGCCGTTAGGCCTCGTCTGGGTCGGAGGCTGGAGGAATCTCTGGGACTGTGGCCAACGCCCAGGCCTCGGCATGTGGTAATACTGTGACCCCACAGGGCTCCTAGTTGTCCCTCACGGACGCCTCCTTCTCGGCCCACACAGGTCCTGGGCTGAGGCTGGCAATGGGGGAGAATGCCGCGTTCCTACATTCAAGCTGGGGCGAGGCAGCCCCCGGTGGGTGGGCGCCTGCCTAGGTCCGGCCGGCCCACCTGCCCCCACCACGGGGGGCTGCCTGCCGAGCTCTCCTCCTTCCCGGCGACCTCCCTCCTGCTCTGGTCGGCTCCAGCCACCCCTTCTTCATCTCCACAAGTGCTGTCACTCTGGTCTGAGCCCCCGCACCTGCCAGGGTCCCCCGCTCCTGCTGGCCAGACCTTCCCCAAGTGACCTGCCAATGACAATGCCGCACTGGGACTCTCCCCCAGATGTTGCCTGGCTCATACATTTTCTTCATGTGATGAAACTACCATTTAAGGAGCGTCTGCCATGTGCAAAACTCTGCTTGGAGCTTTCGCGTGTTATCTCCTTCATGAGTTACCAAGAAAGTTTTGAGAATGACACTGTACCCATGTACGGATGGTGACGCTGAGAGTCAGGGAGACTGAGTCAGCTGTCTGCGATTTCCTCGCCCTGAAGGAGTGGAGTCAGGACTCAGAGCCGATGGCTGTGCACCTGGACTCGCGAAGGCCCCTTCAGGCACAGAGCCCCACCTGCGAATGGCATTTCCTTCCAGAACCTGCTGTGGGCCTGCCCCCAGGAGCCAGGAGTTCAGGCTGCCTTTCCCAGCTCCCCCCGACACACAACAGTCCACAGCCACCCTGGATGCAGGGGACTTCCTTCGCCTCTGCCCCTACAGGTTTTACCAGTGTTGTCAACAAGGAGAGGGGAGAAGCAACTGGTTCTCCAGCCGCCCGCCCCAAAGTGGGAAAAGCCAGGCTGTTCGTCAGCCTGGAAAGAGAGGCTGCACCCCCGGGATGGGCACAACTGGGGAACCAGCTCTGTCCCCACCCCCTGCCCACCCCTGGGCCACCTGGCTCCTCCTGAAGGGACAAAAACAGGGAGATGCCAGAGACACGGGCCCAAGGAAGGGGACATTGCGCTGAGATAATGGGCTCTTTCCTTCTCTGTTTCATCTTAAAATACATCATTGATTGACATGCACGTGAAGGCGTTATCATAACGGATTCAAATACAGACATATGTAATAAACACTTGACGCTTCTAAGGAGAAACCATTAGTGGCATGGTATGCATCCTGTATATCACATATATTTTAACATAAATGTGATAATGTTGCATTACATAAAATATTATTGTCCCATAACTTTAAAATTTTTTAACGCATTAAATTTGACTTGGAAAAAATTCCATGTTGGAGTATACCGTTTTATTTCATTGTTTCTAATCGTTATGGCATATTTCATAGCAAGATTAACCATCATCTACAAAAACATAGATCAGCGCCTCTCAAGTTGTGGTCCTTGAACCCTTAAGGAGCCCCAAAACGCTTCAGGAGGTCCTTGAGGTCACAGCTGTTTTCATACTAATCCTGAGATGCTCTGCCTGTTTCTCCGCGCTGACGTCGTCCTGCCGTGCAGGAGGAAGGGTGGGTCGATGGCAGCCACGCTGCGACGGCCCCCGCCACCTGCACTCTCAGGGAGAAGCAAACAGCCAGCCTCACCCAGGGTTGCCGTGAGGAAGGGCAGGAGCAGCCCATCTCGTTAACCCCAGCCTTGAGCTACGGTGGCTGTCTGAAGACAGGCGCAGGTGTGGCCCAGGCGTCGGCTGAACTCGCTGCACTTCTTAGGGAACATCATTTTCACCTGTGAAGAACAACCAACGGGCAAGGGATGATTATTTGGACTTGGATACTTGACAAACTTTTCCACAAAAATGAGCAAGGTGAGCTTGTTGTTCCAAGGAAAACAACTCACAGTATGTGCTGCCGAGGAGAACATTCGAGTTTCCCAGGAAAAATTAGAATTTGGAAAGTTTGTATTTGCCACCTTAAGCTTGATCACCTCTCAGTACTTAAAGACTAATGAGATGTGTCTAAGATTAATGAGTGTGAGTTTTTAAAAAATATTGTATAATGAAATGTGTCAACATTCGGAAGGTCTGTATAACCCCGTGAACCAATATTTTCCAAACAACAAATGCATTATGTAATAAAATTGGGCATGGATAAAAGATCCATTCAGAGTACAAGATAGAACAATGCATTTTAATGTAACAGAATATAAAAAGTTTATTGCTAGGAATTCAGATTCCACATTGCAACTATCTTTGAGAAACTATCCCTTATCGAGGATTCAATTAACATCAAAGAAGAAAATCTCCAATTATCTGGAGAAGGGCTAATACAATGTTCCTCTCTCTTTAAACTACACCTGTGTGGGGTTAGCTGTCCTCTGGATACTTACCCCAAACTAGTGTGTCAAAAGGATGGGAAGCCGGGCGGTGGGAGAAGCCAGCTCCACTGTAAAACACTGATGCTCTGCTCCTTACGCTTTTTGAGTCTGAAATATATAATTAGTTTCCATAAAAATATACTATTTATGTTAACATGTAATAGGCAATTATTATTTTAAACTCATTAATACATAGATGTTTTATCAGTGTTAATTTCCAATCTACTGCATATCAATAGGACTAATCCACCTATTTAAAGCTCTGGGTCCTTGGATAATTTTTAAGAATGTTAATATGCCCTGAGACCGCAATGGCTGAAGTCTGATGCTGCAGATGGTGAGCTCTCAGACCTGGATTGGGGGCTAGCTGTCACCCTGGACCCCGCTTCGGCCAGAACAGGCGGCTCAAGGGTCGTTCAAGGACCAGCCGTCCATGTTCTCCGTGGCCCTGGGTTCGGCAGAGCCCGCCACTGCCCAGATACACACCTTCTCACCGGCTGTCTCTCAGGAAACCACATGAACAGGGTTGTTAAAATTAGATATAAAGTTCAGTCCCTAGGCTCTACATGAGGAGGGAAGAGAGCAGAGCACCTCAGTTTTGTAACACCCCTTTAAGTAACTCAGAAGCCCTGTTTTACGAACTTACATATTCCCCATGTTTTCTGGGGAGAAGCTTTCTCTAGCCTTGCGCCTCAGATCGGTGGTCCGTGGGCCCGGTGCAGGGCTGTTTCTGCAGCTTGTCAAACACGCAAAGTCACGCTCCTCACCCCAGGCCTATGACGCGAAAATATATGTTTTTAAGAAGATTCCCAGGTCATTTGTATGAAAGTTGTGAAGCACATTTTAGAATCTACAGTCTAAAATTCAAAAGGACTTCAAATTTCCAGAACGGTTGGCAGGTTATTGGGATCAATTCTCCTACTGACAGGAACTTTGATGTAAATAAGATGTATCTTCCTACAAGCAGTCCAGAGATTTCAAGACAGCAAGAAACCTCCACAATCAAAAAAAAGGGATCACTTGTTCACAGAGCTAAGCCTGAACTGCAGATCATTTTGCCCGAAGGTCATTTGCCAAGCCCAGAAAATTGTACTCCAGGTTTTGATCGATTCTTGTAGTGAGAGACACAGAATTAAAATCTGGAAGTGGAAAAGCCCCCATATCAGAAACTCTCAGGCTTTGAACTTAGTCACGTTCCCAGGTGCCTGAGGAAGGCATCTTTAGCGTGGAGAGCAAACTATTCCCACAAGGATTTTTCTAACCAGGGTGACCCGGACAGCCATAGGTAAGCCGGCTGTCACCGAAACGACCACGAGCAAGAAACACGCTGTGAGACAACTATGCGAACAATGTTAAACAAAATAAAGGCAGGTTTGACAATGTCCTCAGGGGACAGAGACCTATCAAGAGTCATACCGCCAGTTTGAAAAAGAACCTAATAGAACTTGTAGAAATTAAAAAAAAAACAAAACAATTAATTGAACTAAAAATCAAAAGGATGGGCTCCAGAGCAGAATGTAGGCAGCTGAGGAGAAAATCTGAGAATTGGAAGAGACGGTAGGAGACACTGTCTGGAATACAGTGTGGAAAGACGAAACGATGGGATATTCAGGTTGAAAAACATACGAGACAAAAAGTGAAAATGTCATATGTATATTTGGAACCCTAGAAAGAGAAGAGTAATACAATGTGGCAGAGGCAGTATTCGAAGAGTCAGTGGTTGAGCATTTTCGGGAACTAATAGAAGATACCAGTCTACAAATTTAAGAACCACAATGACTCCTGTGCTGGATAAATGAAATGGCATCTACATGTGGGGACAGTGTGGTGAGACTTCGCCACAAGTGATTGTCTTTAGCAGCTTGGGAGAGGGAAGTCACGTGAGCAAAGTGAGGTTGAGCGCAAAAGCCAGAAGACCATAGAATTCAAGATGCTGAAAATAATCGCCAACTTTGAATCCTACACTCCACAAAAATATCTTTCAAGAATCGGGACAGAGTGAAGGCAGTTTCAGACCAGGACAGACAGCGAACAGCCGGTCACACAAAGCCCTTTACTACAGGAAGTTCCAAAGGGTGCGCAGCGGGTGGAAGAAAGGTAATCCCAGCCGGAAAGGCTGAAGCCCAAGAAGAAAGGAGAAACAAAGAACCCAGAAAGGGCATGAATAAAGCTAAATGAACACAGGCTCTGTTAGGCAGTGACAGCGATGTCCTGCAGGGGTGAAAAAATAGAATTAAAACGCATGACAACAGTTGCATGTACGTTGAGAGCAAATAGAGTTCAAGGGAGGAGCAGGGCCCAGCACTGACGAACGCCGGTTGATCGGACACGGTTAAGCTAAGCGCATGTGGTCATTGCAAAAGTAAACTATGAATACATAAAACGGAAAGAGAGTATGTCACTGCGAAATGAATAGAGGAGAAGAATAAATGTCTGGGAAAGAACTCGTCTACAGGAAGGCAAGGCCTGAGAGGAGCAGCAGCAAAACGGGCAGGACAGTAGCCCTGAGAGAGGAGTGAACCGAGCTCTGCTGAGGGGACAGGCGAGTGCGGGAGGAGGGCCCAGGAAGCCCCGGCCGCCCGGGCGCCCCAGCTGGAGGCGGGTGAAGACAGGCCTCGAGGCGGAGGTCCGAGCATCGAGAGAGGAGCCCCTCCCGCACCTGGGGGCTTTCGTGAACCCAAGAAGGACAAGGCGTGGGGGTCCTGGGGCCGAGAGGTGGGGGGCCCAGAGGTGGTCCACCGAGAAGGTGGACCTCTGGGCCTCAGGCACAGGAGAGCGTGGGGGTCTTTAAAAGTGACGGCCAGAGTCGTGAGGCACCGCTCCAGAGTCCCCTAGCAAGTGACAGCTGGGAGACAGCAGGACAGGATGGTCATGTGGGTCCCCATGTCCCTGCCCTCAGGGTGCTTGCTCGGTGGGGTCTCTCCTGGCCAGGGGGCCCCGGGAGGGAGGCAGCCACGCGAGGAGGGGGCGCTCCGACGTTGGGCGCCTGCCGGGGGAAGGCGGTGAGTTCCGGCGCCCTTGATCCCCAGGAGCTCAGGCAGGCTCCGCGGCAGCCTCAGGACATGCAGACTGTCGGACTTTACCCTGCTCATTCCTGACGACAGAGAGGAATTTTGCGAAGGCCATACAGCCCCAGGGCATTTGGATTTTGTGATTCACCCAGACCTGTCCAGACCCACCTGGGAAAAGCCAGTGCGTCTGATCCCAGCCGATTCCTATCAGGAGCCCGGTGGTGCCACCAACCTCCTCACACAGCTGGGAAGGGCCACAGGGGCCTGAGCTGACGTATAGCCTCATTCCCACACAGACAGACAGGCGGACAGAAACATGGACACCAGCAAACTTAGGTCTCACACACAGACACACGAACACACAGATTTATGTGGGGCTTAGCCATGTAAGTACGTGCATGCTCACGTTTTAGTTTTACTCCCCACTCCCCATCCCCAACAGTCAGGTTTCAGCTACACTCAGACAGACAGACACACACACCCCAAGTTACGTGCACACACTCAAGCACACACCCTGCTGTTCCAACTCCCGGCCATCCAGGGGAGATGGGGGGCCAGCTAGGAGTGGCAGGCTCTGCTGACACCCAGGGAGGCGGGGGCCCTGAGCGGCAGGAGCGGCGGCTTCGCTGCTCCCCGCGGGCAGTCATGTGGAACAGACCGCGCTGAACCGCCCAGCAAGGAAGGCCTCCTCACCCCGGAGCTGTGCCCAGCCCGGGCCACGCCCAGCGGACGGGCAGCCGGCTGGTGCTGCCAAAGGTCAGGCTTAGGAGCTACAAGGACCAGGCCGCTGCCTGGAGCGGACGCTTCCCGCCCTCTCAGCCTCCGTCTCCTGGCCTGTAAAATGGGGCTGCCACCCCCACACGGTCGCTGTGAGGGTCCAGCGACGGGGCGTTCGTGAAGGCCAGGGCCCGGGGCGCGGTGGTTGTGCAACAGCTGCCGGCTCCCTTCCTTCCTGGCACCTGGCCTTCAAACTGCACCCTCTCGCCGGGGCCTTTAGGGCAAAGCATGGAGTCGAGGCCAGCAGGGGCCCCGCCTTTGACAAACAGGGGCTGACAGTCTTGTCACCCCCATCAGCTGTGTCTCCACGGGCTCCCCTCCCAGTCCCCTCCTGCGTTAGCCTCTGCGGTCCAGCTCAGAACGGCAGGGGCGGGGGGCCAGGCGCGGAGGCCAGAGGGGGCAGAGGCCAGCGCAGGCTGGTGTCTGGGAGGGGCAGACCAGCGGCAGGGCGCTGCAGGGCCCGCGCCCGGACGCCGAGAGACCCTGGCCTTGTCCCCCAGAGACCACGGGGTGGGGTGGACCTGCGGAATGAGGAGATGCCCGTGAGGCTCCGAGCCTGGGGCTCGAGAGACGCCGAACAAACAGCCGCTCCCGTCACTTCATTCCTTCTCTCTTCCTGACCCCTCGTGCCAGGGCTGTGACAGACTCAGGTGTCCCTTCTGCGACAAGGTCCTGGGACTGTTTCTTTCCATGTGACTTTTTTCTTTTAACCAAGGAAGAGCCTCCTGGAAGCTCTGCAGACCTTCTTCCATCCCTCAGTGGCCAGAACTGTGTCGCCGGCCCGCGCTGAGCAGCTGCAGGCCAGGGGAACGGAGTCGCTGCCGGCGTCCCGGTGTCCCGGTGCCGGGTGCTGACCACCGCCCCGAAGCCACACAGTCTGCCTCTGCCAGGAGGGAGGAGGAGGAGGTGCTGGCTGTTGGAAACAGGGTCTCCTAGCCACCCTGGACACCCTGTTCCTTCCAGAAAGCCCCCCAAGTTGGTGGCAGGCACGTTTATGTGTTGTCTCCATGGAATACCACGAAAAGCCCTAAACATCCGGATGTGAGGAATGGGCACCCCCCCAAAAAAGGAAGCTGCCAGTCTGCAGACCTCAGGCTTGTAAGCGATGAGCCCGAATCTGAGCCCAGGGCTGTCCCACCCGTGTGTCGGTGACGGTCCCCGCACCCCGCCACCACGCCCCCCAGGTGGGCGTGGCAGCCAGACAGGAGGCAGGCGGGCCAGACAGGGAGCCGGGACAGGATGGGCGAGGGGCCCGCGGGCCCGGGCCTGGGGCGGGCCCAGCTCTGCCACTCACCTGAAACGTCCCTCCTCTCAGCCTCAGTTTCCCCATCTGGAAAAAGGAGGGATTGGACTGTGAAATCCTTAATGTTCTTTCTGGCTCAAACATCCTTTCATCCAGTGCCTTCCACAAGAGCCTGGGCCCCAGGAAAAGAAAAAAAAAAAAAAAGCACTTCGGTGGCCTGTTCGCTTGGAGGCCCCGCGAGGACAGCTCAGAGCCTGGCTCCGCTATTTCGGGCTCATGAGTTCATCCCGAGGCCCGTGCCAGCCCCCGCGGCTTCTCATCTTTCCATCCCGGTCCCTGTGACAGAAGGACTAAAAATACCGAGCTCCCGCAGGCCCGCCACCCGGCGGCCGCCCTCCCTGGAACCTGTCCATTCGCCAGTTTTAGGTGCACCACGGATGAGAGCTGGAGACGAGCCACACTTGGCAGCCTGGGCTCCCAGCCGCCCGCTCCGGTTCATGGGTGCGGTCCAGTGGAAACAGCTCATTCCGGTTCTGCCACATCCATTCATTGTCCAGCACATTCCAGCCTTGTCGCCCTCCATCTGGCCTGTGAGGAGTGTCTGAGCCTCAGTTTCCTCATCGGGGAGACAAGGATGCTTCTCCCCAGTGTATCACTTTGCGAGCATGAAAGGGGAGGGCCTGGCCGGACAAGCCTGGCCCCGACCGCGGCCTGAGCGGCTCCTGCCCCTGCTTCCCCGGGGCCGCCCTCTCCGCTGGGCTCCTCCTGGTGACTCAGATCCCGTGGTCCTGCTGTCCCGCTCCGAGCCTGACCCAGTTTCACAGGGGCTGTGGAAAGAAAGCCCTTCCCCAGCTGGCTTCGTGACACAACCACAGATGACTCGTGCGTGGTCACCAAGGCGGGGGGCTCCCCTGGGCAGGATGGCAAGTCGCTGCTCAGTGCTCAGTGAAGGGCACACTCCCTCCCCGTTGTCCTTTCCCGCCGGAGCTGAAGGAAACTTTTCTTGAAGATTGGGTCTCCTGGAGCAGCCCGCCCCCACGGCAGACCCTAGGACAACAGCGAGCCTCACGCCAGCGAGGGCACAGAGAGGCTGCCGGTCACACCCTCCCCGAGGCAGCCTTGGCCCCGGCTGGCCTTGGCCCCCGGACTGCTTCCTGCGAGGGCCTGTCTCCTTTAGGGAGGGCGTTGGAGGGGAGGGTTTGATTTCAAATAGGGGTGTTAGAGAAGGTCGTGTTGAGAAGACGATGTTTGTGCAAAGACCAACGGTGATGAGGAGACTGAACGTTCTCACCACAGGGGCCCACGGGCCAGCGATGGAGCGCGACCGGCCACAGGGCGCCCGTCTGAGCAGGGGGTCACATGATCGGATGCGCGCATTACAGGCTCGTTCTGGCCCGTCTGCTGGGAGCAGCCTGGGGGTGGGGGTCGAGGGCAAAAGCAGGGAGACCAGGCAGGAGGTGTAACCCAGGCGGGAGCTGAGGGCGGCCTGGAAGTGGGGGTCAACTCCAGGTGCAAGTGGAAGGGCAGCCGACAGGGCTTGCTGATGGGCGCGGGGGGATAAGCTGGCCCTGTGCTAGACGGTTTGCAGACGCCCCTTTGTGATCCTGTGTCCGTCCTGTTTGACAGATGAGACACGGGCTCACGCAGTTTGACTGCTTGTCACGGGCTACACAGCAGGGCTTGTGAAGTGACCTCGGCCCAATTCCAGAGCCAAGTGCTCACCCTCGGCCCCTGGTCTCAGCCCTGCCAGCTTTCACATGCCAGGTAGATAAGAATTTAAAAAGACTGTTCATAAAACATATACACATACCTCCCCCGCAATACATGCACATGTACAAACCACACACCACATATATACATAATACATACACGCACCACATACCAATATACAACCATGGACACACACACCACATACCATATGCACAGCACACATACCTCACATCACATGCATATACACAACACGCACTAGACACTCACATCACTCGCCCGCACCGCACACGTGCACACCGCACACATCCGCGTAGTGTGAGCGTCTCGCAGGTGAACTTGGCATAGGATCTCGCGGTCCCAGCCCCATGTCTCGGCTCCCAGAAGCCACGGCCTTGGACTCACAGAAACCTGTTTGAACCCTGCCTCGGCCACGTGCCACCTGGGTGACCTGAGGCAAGTAATCAAGCCCCGCTGTGCTCCAGCTCCCTCCTGTGTAAAATGCGGCGACAACAGCCGCGCCAGGGCTGTGGCAGGGACGGGCGATGATGTCAAGGGCCAGAGGCTGCTCTTGGGCAGGTGCTGGCTTACACCTACCTCAGTTTCCCCATTTTGGGCCCTGACGACACCCCATGGGGGCTCTTCAGAAAGTCCCTGAGAACCCGGGGCCGATGTCAGGCCAGCCCACGAATCTGTCTGCGAGCTCCCAGGAGCTGTGTCTCCCTGTGAGACTCAGGCCCGTTCCCGCCCCTGAGGGTGGCCCTGGCTGCTGCCCTGTCCCCTCAGTCCTGGCCTGGACAAGGGACAAGGGCGCCCGTCAGACTCCGGGTCCCCAACCTCCCTTCCGAGCGGCCGCCGGGGCCAGAGCGACAACCCCTTTCATTGGGACCGTGCAGTGATTTTTCATCCCTTGGAGATGACTTGCTCAGCTTGAAAAGGAGATTAATTGGAAACACACATGTTTAGAGGACAAAGGTTTTGTTTAAAAACATTCCAGCTGAAAACCAGTTGTGGACAACGGTGGGAGCGCCCATTCCCCCTCGGCCGGGCAGCAGGTCCCGGCTGGCCGTGCCGGCCGGGTTTCTCCGGGCACGTTGGGCTTTCTCCTGCTCACACCTCAGGCGGGGTCTCCCGCGAGTCCAGCGGGGATGCTCATGAGCCCACACACGTGCACACGCACGTGCACACAGTGAGGTGAGTGCGCTTTTCCCGAACGCCTCAACACGCGTTTATTCGCTTGCAGGCGCACGCTCTCCGGCAGAAAGGGCGTTGGCCTCGCTGTACGAATATCTGATTTCAAATGTTTCCTCTGCCATGACATTTAAGGTCTCTGATAAGACAGTCGAATCCCTGTGCCTCCGTGTTGGCATTTAGCAAGTGACAATGGAGGGCTGTTCTAACTGTCAAATTGGACAAGCCATGCATGTGAGGACTTAGCCCAGACCAGGAGCAAATAAATAACTGCCCTGTTTGCATCTCTTCTGAGAAATGCATCAGCTAATAATCTTTTGGTTTGAGAATGTGTTTTGGAAACTGTTGGTCTAATGTATACTCGACACATCCACGCACAGATGTGTTCAGTAAACATTTACCCATCGCCTGCTCTGTGATGAGACACGACCTTGTGTGGAGGAGACAGGAGAGGCGCTGTCTCATGTTAGGGGGCTGGAGGTCTGGGGTGGCTGGGGGCAGACGAGGGAAGCACCTCCTGCTCAGCCCCCTGGTCCCACCCACCCACCCTTGGAGAGAGAGCCTGAGATGCCCTTCTGACCAGCCACCCCGCTTTACACTCCACATGGCCGCCTGTGCCTCACGGTAGAGCCCTGGCTGACCTCCGGCCCTGGGTGCTCTGGCCCATCGGCCCCTCCAGATCCACGTTTTACCTCTGCTTCCTCCCTGCTCCGTGCCCTCCAGCGAACCTTGCCTCTGGGACACACGCCCTCGTCTCTGCTCTCTGTCCCCTTTGTCTGAACTGCCCACCAGCTCGCAGACGGCCTGCTTGAACTCCTGCTGTCCTGCCTGTCCCCGTCCCTGAGACCCACCAGGAGGCACTGACGTCACCTTTGTTGCCAACACTTGTCTTGCCGGGAGGGCCCTCGGGGGCGGCGGCTGTATGTACTCCCTCCTGCAACCCCGGGGAGAGTCAGAGGCCGGGGCAGTCGCTCAAGAACTTCAAGTCGAATCGAGTATTTGTCCTAAGAAGTGTCCTTTGTTCATCGCTGACACATCTTACCAGTTTTGGTAAGAGAAACCATTCCCCAGAAACGCTGTGGAGGCAGGAGGACGCACATGGGGGCCCAGGATGAAGTCAGGCCCTCGGAGCCGCGGCGCCCTGGTGACCCCGGGCTGCCCAGAGCCAGGCCTGCGGGGCCCAAGTCGCCCACCCGGCCTCCTCTGCCCAGGTCCCCGGCCCTGCCTCTTCCAGTTCCACTTTTGTTTCTGCCTCTTGCTCATCGGGTCCTTTGGGCAAGTGCTCTCCATGATTTTGGAAAGAGGAAGGGGATCCGTTTCTGAAAGTGTGTCCTGATGTTCCCAGAGGTTTGCAGGCAGCGTCTCAGTGTTGTCTGAAACTTCCCAATGCAAAGGCTGCGGGGAAGCCTTTAATAAATGATAACAACAGCAGCCGTAATAAAAATGGTCAGCCACGGAGAGCCTCCTGGTGCGAGGCACAGGTGGGATCTCACACCCACCCGGCATTCGAGTTCCTACCCCCACCTTACGGTTGAGGAAACGGGGATGGCAGGGTTAAGGCCCAAAGTTATATAGTGTAGGGTCCCCAAGCATCGACGATGGGGCAGCCCCCACTGCTGCCCTGAAGTCCGCCTCCACGAGGCCACGAGCCCACGGCTGCCCCTCGCCAGCCTCTGAGCACGCAGGGGCGCCGGCGGCGGGAGAAGCAGGCCTCCTCGCCGGGCGGCTTCGGCTCGGGGTCCCCCACACACTGCGGAGCTCTCTCGGGGCCACACTGCACCCGCAGGGGTTGCCCCTCAGCCTCCCTCCTTCCCTCTCTGCTGACCCCAGGCTCGGACCTGCCTCCCCACCCCCATAGCTGTCCCTATAGCCCCAGCTCCTCTTTTCCTCACTGCCACTCCCTGAGACATCCCGTGCATGGCCCATCCCCCTCGGCTCCTGCTTCTGGAAGACCAGGGTGAACATAATCAGCGAGAACCCAGAGGCTGAGGGCCTGCTGGCTGCGTCCCGGGCTCAGCTCCATCCTCTCACTGGGACGTAACCCCAGTGGGCCCCTGGGACAGGCTCCAGTCCCAGACTCTTGCTCCCCTGGTGTTGGGCACGGTTTCTCCAGGCCACGAGGCCAGAGAAAGAAGCCGACAAATCCACTGATACACTGAGTTTATTAAGACATACAAGGCATGTCCTGGGTGGCAGGAAGATGTATAGATGTCATCATCACCATATGACCCCGAAGGGTCATGCAGGACAGGGCAGGACGGATAGGGGCTCTGGGGCGTG